CTAAGGGAGAAGATGGGATTGGGGATGACTCCTGGGTTTCTGGTTCGCATGCTGGAGTGTAACGTGAGCCATTCACTGGGAGGAGGAGAAGGAGAAGAACCAGTGGAGGAGGGTGGGCTCACTCTTCAGGTGTGGACATGTTGTGTTTGAGGTACTCATGAGCCATCCCAGAATTGTTCAAGGTGGCAGTGGGAGCTCAGGGGGAGGATGTGTGCTGGACTCATAGACTGAAGAGCCATCATGGTAAATGAAACTGTGGGCCACTGAGCAGAGAGAAGAGAGGACTGAGCTCATATTCGGTAAACTGTTGTCAGCAGTCTCTGATCATCTTTACATGAAATAAGCACCTTTCTTTCCTTGCCATTTTTTTTCTGCCTAAGTTAGGACCTCATCATGACAGGATCTTGTTAGAAAGTTAAAGGTGTGCCCTGGAAGCTCCTTAATGTGAAAGCTTCGTATTATGTGATGAGTGTAGGAAGGTAGATCATCCTTCAATCTCAGTCTTGACAGGATGTTATTGCTGTCATTGAACTATTTGAGTCTGGTGTTTTTCGTCCCATCTTGATAAACATCAGTTGTCTAGAATCACTTTCATGTCTAGCAGTTCACCCCTTCTACTCATTAGGATATTGTAATTTAGATTCAGCTACTGTGTATTTTTGCACAAAAGGCTCATTAACCTTCCCTAATTTTCTCGTTCCCTCTAGACTCTTACTTACCTGACATTGCTCTTTCTCTATACATTCATAGACTGTCAGGGCTCGAGAGCGTTTATTGAGTCCCCTAATTTTACAAAGAAGAAAATGAGGTCTAAGGAAGATGGTGGCTTGGGTCACATGGCAAGTTGGTGGCAGAACTAGAACCACCCTCAGGCCTCCAGCCTTGAGCCCAGCTCAGCATCACACTGCCTCTTCCCTTCCCAGGACTTTAATTTTCTCTTCTCAGCGGTTTGAAACTTTCTACTTAAAATTTCCAAAGAAACTCATTAATTGCACATTAGCCTCCCCCAAATGGAAAGATTGTACTTGTTCCTTCAAAGCCTTGATGGGGAAAGTGCTACTTAAACAGAGACTGTTCTAGTTTCCACTCACAGAGGTATCCCAGAGCAGCTGTGGGGACACACTCCACCTCTAAATTAAGGGTGGCAGAAGATCAGGTACGCTTTCTCTGTGCTTCTTGATGTCCCTGCTCCTATCTTTTATTTCTACAAGAAAAAATTTAATATTCATTTTTCACTGTAACTGGAATATTAGAACCATAAAAGAATATAGTTTTTAATACTTTGAGAAATATATAGGCCAGGAAAAAAGGATAGTAATGTGAAAGTTTATATTTAAACAACTTCCACATATGCTGATAAGCTCTTTAAAAACTCTGATTTTTGGGCCAGCCCCGTGACTTAGCGGTTAAGTGCGCGCACTCCACTGCTGGTGGCCCGGGTTCGGATCCCGGGCGCGCACCGACGCACCGCTTCTCCGGCCATGCTGAGGCCGCGTCCCACATACAGCAACTAGAAGGATGTGCAGCTATGACATACAACTATCTACTGGGGCTTTGGGGAAAAAAAAGAAGGAGGATTGGCAATAGATGTTAGCTCAGAGGCGGTCTTCCTCAGCAAAAAGAGGAGGATTAGCATGGATGTTAGCTCAGGGCTGATCTTCCTCACAAAAAAAAAAAAAAAACTCTGATTTTTGGTCATGAGGTACTACCTTTAAGAAAAGTGAATACCTAGCATGTGTACTGGGTAGTACTTGGTTGTGGTTTTATAAAATTTACATCTGCAAATACTAGTTGTAAATAATTGCTTCCTAGAATAACAGTTCAAGAAAGATACATTGGAGGGACAGACAAGTGAAAAGACCTATCAGGGTATAGATTCAGCTGGTAACAAAGACCCAAACTAATAATACTATCTTAAATATGATAGAAGTTTATTTTTTGAGAGATTAAGCATTCTCTAGAGCTATGATTTCAAGAACCAAGGCTTCCTCTATCTTGTGGCTCCATGCCATTGTCTGCATGGTTGAAAGGGCTCACCAGTCTGGGCCCACAATTGCAACAGCAAGAAGCAGGAATGAGGGGCCAGCCTGGTGGTGCAAGCACTTAAGTGTGCGTGCTCCGCCATGGCAGCCCAGGGTCACCACTTGTCAAGCCATGCTGTGGCAGCATCCCATATAAAGTAGAGGAAGATGGGCACGGATGTTAGCCCAGGGCCAGTCTTCCTCAGCAAAAAAAAAGAGGTGGATTGGCAGATGTTAGCTCAGGGCCGATCTTCCTCACAAAAAAAAAAAAAAAAGAAGAAGGAGGAGGAATGAGGTAGAGGAGGGCACAGCCTTCTTTTTAAGAGCACATCCAGAACCAGTCACGTTGCACCTCAGCTTGCTTCCTATTGGCTGAGACTTAGTCACATGGCTGCACCTCACTGCAAAGGAGGCTGGGAAATGTTGTCCTTAGCTGGGCAGTCCTTTGCTCAGCCAAAATTGAGAAAGCCTATTACTGAAGAAAGAAGGGAAGATGGGATACCAGGGAACGACTCTCAGTTTCTGTCATTTGTCAGAGATTAAGTTATACGTAACAGAGAAACTTTATTACTTTCATCTGTGAAGCCAAATAAATTTCTCTTTAGACATGAGAAAATCATGAGGATGAGTATATGTGACTATCGCCTCACAAACCTAGCAAAGTCCAACGAGTCTGTGGGAAGTGATTAGTCCTTCTAAAGTTCTACAGAGGTCACGTGGGAGGAGGCCTCGCCGGGCCAGAGCTCGTGTGAGGTTCGACCTGAGCAGGGAAGGGCGTTGCTGGGGAGCATGCTCAAGAAGGAGGAGGACAGGGGGCTTCTGCGGGCACAGCCGGAGGCATCAGGTTATGTGCACTCAGCTTAGCAGCAGAACCTTGACTCAGAGCTGAGAGGGGGGCAGAATCGGCTGCCCTAGTGATCGAGGGACAACTGAAACAGGGGCTGCAGGGACTGGCCAGCGTTCTTTCCGGGGGGTCCCAGCTGAGGCAGACGAGGTGCGAGTCACTGTTGCCTGTAGCCAGGGGAGCAATCCTGATAAACTCCAAGGTGAGAGTGAGTCCGCACTCTGGGCAGCCCCATGACCAAGGGAAGCCCTGGAGAGAAACAGAGCAGGTGAGAAGGAAGAAGGAAGAGAAGCCAGGATGTTGGCAAGGCCCTAGGTCAGGGGAATTAACACAGCGAGGTGAGCAAGACCAGAGAGCAGCAGCCACCGTAGAGGTAGGTTCACGGGGAAATTGTAGCCATAACACCCCCGAACCAAACTGTCCTCTGAGTAGACTAAGACCCTTGGCTCCTCCCAGCTATTGTTAATGAGACTCTGGCCTGGAACTGACAGAAAGAGTCACAGGCCCTAACGGTCTCTTAACATTTTTTAGGACTAAATTATTTCAGTATCACCAATCACTTCAGAAACATAGTACATACAAGAATCCTTCACACTGGAATATGAATGTTGTTGGTGTGAATATTCTCATCTTTGCCTTATTTAAGAAATACCTTGTTTCATCTCGAACTGAAGATGGCTCTCTCCCATGGAACTTGTGGCTTCGTGAGTCAGTGCATACTGCCTGAGTGTCAGAATAGGAATACAGATTTCCTAGTTCGCTACATCTGAGAGGTCCTTGGTGATGAAGCTGTACTTGCAGAAAGACAGGGTTGTGTTGTTGAAGTCTCAAACACCAGAGCAGTAGGAAACCAGAAAAAATATTACAGAGCAATATACAGTCTTGAAAAATGAGGTGACTCAAAGGCTTGAGGTCATAATATATCAATAATAATAATAATATTCTGCATGTATAGCACTTTGTAAATTACAAAATGCTTTAACTATGCATTGATTTCATTGTAATAAACACTGAGGAAAAGGTACCATTTTATAGGTAAGCAAGCAGACTTAGAAAGTTTTACTAACTTGTCTAAGGTACCATGACCAAAATATTGTGTAAAGAAGAGTTAATTGCAGGTGTTTTAACCCCATGTTCAGGGCTCTGTCCTGGATGACCCCTGGCTCTTCTGAGCTCTCAGCAGTGTCATGAGTTTTCTCATTTGTTCATGCATTCGTTCAACAACTATTTATTGCACACCTCCTATGTGCCAATCATTATGCCAGGCATGGAGGATGCTGTGATTGACAGGATGTGGTCTCTTCCTTCACAGCAAGCTTGCAGTCTGGCAAAGGACAGAGGCATGTAACCCACACTGGCCAGTATGAAACAGTGAGGTCTGTGCTGCAACAGCAGGAATATGGGAGGCTGTGGGAGCACAAGAGAAAGGCCTCTCCCCAAATCATGAGTCAGAGAGGCTTCCCAAGGAGTTGATGTTTACAGTGAGTCCCCAAGGGTGAGTAGGAGTTGAAGGAAGGAAGACTGTTCCAAGTCACTCCTGATGGAGAGGTGACCCTAAATCAGGTCCAGAATAGGGAATGACCCAAAGGATTTACAAATTCAACTTAGCGTACGAATTCCTACTATTTGGCTAATTACAGACATCATCCATCCATCCATCCTCCCTCTCTCCTTCTTTCTCTCTTTTCTTTCTTTCTTCCCTTCCTTCCTTCCTCCCTCCCTCCCTTCCTTCCTTTCTTCCAACCATCCATCCATAGTAGGTGCTGAGATGTTTACTGAATTCATTAGTTAATTTTTTAAATATTTATTTAGAGATCTAATATATGCCAGGCACTATGCCAAGTGATGTAGAGGCCATAAAGATATACAAGACAGTATCCCAACTGATGTGAAGCTTAAAATTTAATTGAAGAGATAAACCTGTGCACGTGTTACATAATACAAGCAGGCTAGAACAGCTGTCCTAAGAGATGCCCCAAGAAGTTACCACTGGCTGTGGGGATGTTATGTGGAGGAAGTCTAAGCTTCAGTGATAAAATTAACAGAGCAAGATCAGACTGAACATCCTCCGTCTTTTTCATGTGTCGATTTGCTTATTTGTTTTATTTTGTTTTCTGAAATTTGTTCTTCCATAGATTCCGTGGCTACAGCATCTGGGCCACTACTAGTTGAAGTTGCCAAAACTCCTGGTGCCAGCCTTGGCGTTGCCCTCACTACCTCGATGTGCTGTAACAAACAGGTCATCGTCATAGACAAAATCAAATCTGCCAGTATCGCAGACAGGTGAGTGCTGTGGAAAGTGCTTGCTTTTCAAAACTGCATGTGTGTTAAAAAAAAAAATATATACACACACACACACACTTAACACATACACATATACGCATGCATACACACACATAAACACACAATAAAAAACAGCTATCCTGTCAGTTTATACAAGTTTCATGTAGGGAAACAAGTTTGCTCCTCTAGAGCTTACACATTCACCTGCCTTATCAGCCACCCCATGATGTAATGTCGCCTCATCCAGAGGTTTGGTGTGGCCTTTAGAAATGGGAAAAAAAAGTCAAGCAGCTGAGCAAGTTTTCCTACTGTGTCCTAGGGTAACAGCCTGTTCCTGGTGTCAGGTGGCTAAGCAGATCTTTATGGTCCATGCAGAAAATTCATGGGTTTTCCTGAATTGTTAACAATTAAATCCTGCCGCCATAAAATCTTATTACTTTTTTCTTAAATAAGTAAAACATAATTTTTTAAATTGTACAGTCTTTAAAGAAAGGTCCTATACTGTCATAGAATGTTAATCTTAGGGTTTCACAATCTTCAAGAGTCCTTGAAAACATCATTCATTCCTATGACACAATAAAAACAAAAGCCCTTTTTCCTGAATTCTTTTTCCTAACTAATATTTTAGACTTACAATGTAAGAAGGGGAAAAAAAGACCACCCTACCACCTAATAAATTATTTTACAGCTCCTGGTAAGAAACTCCCCTCTCCTGTAGCTGAAGCCCTCCAGGTGCGTCCACGTGGATTGTGTTTTTAGGTGGAAGGGGATGGCTTGAGATGCTTTTGTCCTGAGAGTCAGACTGCTCTCACTGTGGCAATTTTTAGACATCCTTGGATGCCCAGTCTGCATGTTCCCAGCCCTCTTCTCCACATGCCCCGGCCCAACCCTGACCCTGATGCAGTGACCTGCGGCCTTCCTGTGGTGGTCAGTCTGCAGCTCCAGTGTGGTCCTGCCCTGCACTCAGCCCTTCCACAGTGATGGCCGTTGACCCAGGGTGTTCTTCAGCACCCAATGCCGCAGGCTGCTTTAATCTTCCCCTTCTGTTTTTCCCGTGCCACAGAGGGGAGCCAGTTTAAGGAGCTGTCCGCTTGACTGGTACGTTGGGATGCTGACTGCTGTGTTTGCTTTTCTCAACTCATCCAGTAGCCAGTTTTTTGAGTTTAGCAAGACGTAGCAGCTAGCCCCTCCCCACCCGCAGCTTTCCCCTTCTCTCACCACGCAGGCCTCATTTGATTACTCCTCTGACTCGTGCATAATTTCCATCATCATTGAGAGCTTTTGTACTAATCAGTGTTTAACTCCAGAATAACAAAACACAACAATAAAGAACTGGTGATCTGGGAGCTTGTGTGGAGGAATCTGAGAAAGTGTTAGCTGATCTCCCCCCAAGTTATTCCCATTCACACATAAAATAGTTGTAAATGACCCTGTGAGCCCCATCTCACCATTCTGCATATTTACCAACTCCTATTTATGAATATGAAAACCTAGGAGGGAAAATCACAGAAAAAAGTCAAGGGGAAACATTTTCCTGTTCTTCCCTCCCCTCCTGCTCACTTCCCCTCAACTTTTGGCACCACTACCCACAAATAACTTTTTTTTTAAGAAGGACATGAGAAAAACATTTCCTTGAATTTTTCTGTATTTTTTACAAGGTTTACATTCATACCCAAGGTGCTTAACATTTGACAGATGGTGTTTGCTGTAACACTCAAACATTGCCTTGTTTTAAGAAAATGTAAACTGTATGAAATTTTACCTTTGAAGGACATGAAAGCCACACTCCAAAGAGGAAGGCCTTATGGTACTGAGTCTTTCTCCTCCCGCAGGTGCGGGGCCCTGCACGTGGGAGATCAGATCCTGTCCATTGACGGGACCAGCATGGAGTACTGCACACTAGCAGAAGCAACCCAGTTCCTGGCAAACACCACCGACCAGGTCAAGCTGGAGATTCTTCCACATCATCAGACCCGCCTGGCCCTGAAGGGCCCTGACCACGGTGAGAGCATCTGTCTGGATAAGTCTCTTTCTCTTCCTTTGTGGTTATGGCTTCCTCCGGCAGAGTCAGAAAGCAGAAAGATGCCGAGCTTAATTCTGCCATTATCATTTCTCTTCAAAACAACAAGTTATCTTTGTTTACTCTTCATCTTCCAAATCCCTTTTTCTAAGCCTTAGGTAATTTACTTGAAACCCCTAAAGAAAAGAGGAGGAAAGAAACATTAAGAATGTTTCAGAGAATTTTCAGACTAGTACTATTTGATATTAAAAAAAAAAAAAAAAAAAGAGCCTTTGGTGCAAATTGAGTGTGGAAAGAAGGGAAATAATTTGACTTCCTGTTATTCAAGTAGAATTTCCACTGTACTTGAAGGACAATGAAGGCAAAGAGTGAAACTTTACTTTTTTTTAGATAGTTACAAAGTATGTATTAATAGCAGGCCCTTCAAATATTTGGGGGGGAAAAAACCCAGTTGTAGGAAGGGTTGACTTTCTTTATGTTTTGTCTGTTTGCCAGGGTAGTTTTTTCTTTGGGTGGAGAACAACTTTTCTGCCCAAATATCTTTCCTGAGAGAGTCAGGGTATTTGATCACAGTTATTCAACAGCAAGCGTCAGCTGAGGGGATCTACGTTCCCACCGTCTCGGAGTTCACAGGCGTGGTTGCTGAGTACGTGCTTATATACCAACCTAGGCGTCTTGAAACAAAACTTGGTGCAAGAAAAAGGACTTTGAGCCCAAAATCAAATGAAGAAACACTCTCAAGGGGGTCTTTGTTCCAGCCCCTCCTCCCTCCTTTTCCTTAAGCCCCGCACACCCTCCTCCTTTATCCCTCGAAATCAATTCCTGAAGCCTCAGCAGTGCTGTCAGGGGCCCTAGAGGAGAAGAACCTTCTGTACCTTTAGAGAGAGAGAACAATGTTCTCTGGAATCGAGATTTTGCTGATGAGGAGGTCATTTGTATTGCGTGTCTCCCACCTTCTAAAACACACTGCATTTTTCCACAGTTTGGAAAAAAAGAGAGACAGATAATTCTCATACCGAGGGAGTCAGCTGTATGCACCCTTTTTTAATTAAATGGAGCTTAGACAGCCTTGGAGCTAATGAAAATCTCTGGTACAGCATTACCTTTATCAGATTTTAATTTCACACATTGGAGTAGAGCAATGCTGCAGCCTGGGCAGGTTATGAAAAGAAATTCTGCCTCACTGGAATAGAAACGATAAGGAGCTCCAGGAGGGAGCAGTTCATGGGCATGCACCGTTCCCAGGGCCTCCCCCACGTGCTGGCTGAGGGGAGACTTCTAAACCTGTGAATTTCTTCTACATTAATCTGCAGTCGTCACTGGCTCTGGAGCGCAGTAGGTAGAAGCATGCACAGTGTGTGTAGTGCCTTTTCAGCCTGAGATTTTGCTTAGTAAATTCTGGGATCGGTGAATCAGAAATGTGTAACAGACCCTTTAAAAATGTCATTGTCTTTAACAACCTCATTTTCCCCCTTTTATTTGCCCTATATACAAATCATAAATAGTTCAAATAGTTTCCAACGCATGAAATATTAAATATTTTACCTGCCAAGACAATTTGAGAATGTGAATTTATATACTAAAATGTATGGAGACCAAGAACAAATTTTTTTTTTCTTCCTTGTGGAAAACCTGATGTCATTTGTGATTTTTCAGAGAGTGAGAGGCTGGTAACTTAAGTAATTCTAGCTTCCACTTCTGACACTGTCACCCACTTTTGCTGGAAATTGTTCACGTTCTTCGTTATCTAGCATACAGACATATCCCTGCATTTTACATTAACGTCAGACTTGCATGTCCAAGAGGAAATAAATATTTGCTCCTGGACATAATTAAATCACACTCTAAAAAGGGAAACAAATACAAAAAGAAATTTATGGTGTTTGTAATTCTCAAACTTCTGTTTGTGTCTAGTGGAGCTGTCTTACATAGTTTACACTTTTTCCACAAGAAAATTCTGGTTGTTTTTCCAAGATCTCTGACGCCTGAACAGCATGTGTCTCATCTCATGGGTGGATGGAGATACACCATTTCCCAAATTTTGCTTAGCAAGAAAGCATTCACCACAGTGTTTTCAGAGAAAGACAGAAATGGGCATATCAACTAGGAATAAGGCATTAACTGTGCTTTTTGCTGGTAAATAGCAACATTAAAAAGCCAACAAGAATGAGTTTTCAGTGAGGTTAGAAATTGGTCTTTGAGAAGTATAATCTTGTAATTGAAGGAAATTGAGGCTTTGGAAAAGAAAATGTGAGCAGAATCACAAGGTTCGATACATTCAGACCAGGAGGACTTCCATTTGTGAGCTCCAGGAGCGACCACAGGAGTAGCTGCTGCCTGCACCCCTAGACATCCTGGACAGGGCAGGAGGGTCCAATGAGAGAGGAGAACAAACAGAAGTACCGTCCACGTCAGATACCTCTTAAGACTTCATCACTTCGGCAGTGATGTCACCATGGGATGATGGGAAAAGCATTATATTTTAACTTGCTGCATATTTATCTGTAACGAAGGGCTTAGGAACTCCCATAGGAAGAGTCAGGGCAGGGACTCTAGAGTCAGACTTCCAGAGCTTCAGTTGTGGGTCCACCACTTGAGACCTTAAGCAAGTTATCCAACTTTTCTATACTTCAGTTTCTTCATCTGTAAAATGGGCGTTATAATAGTACCTACGTCATAGGTATGTGGTAAGCATTATCTGAGCTAGTCCATGAAAAAGCACTCAGCACAGTGTCTGGTATGTAGCAAGTACTCAGTAAAAGTTGGCTGTTATTATCCAGACCATTAAATGGGAGAATGTATTATGAATGTTCTTTGCAGAGTGGGTGTGCCAAAAATATGACATCTTATTTTTAAATCCTGAAATACTTGCCTAATATATGAGTGTCAACTACACTACCATTAAACAGAATAGATTTTGAGTGTACATACCAAATAGGCAGTAGCTGTCTTCTCTGTCTTACATTATTTGTTGAACACCTTTTGTATTCATTATCCATGGCATGCAATTTCGTGCATTATCTTATATCATTTTTGTCTCTTAATTATTTCATATGTATGAAGAATTAGTCCCCTATGACAGTTCAAAGTCAAGGTAAAGGTGATGACCTACATTTCACCTGCATGCAATAATTGGCACAGTGCTGGGCACCCAAGTGGCCAATAATATCTTCTTTATTGATGTATTGAGTTTGACAGTCCTAAAAGTTGCCCCAAAATTTTCAAAGCACTCCGTAAAGAACTGGATCCAAAAGTGAGTGTAGAATTCTGAAGTCCACTTACTATACTTCATCTGAAACACGGACAGTACTTTGTAAAGAATATAATAGAGTGGCTGTGCATGTAGATTATCCAGACCCATCAATGACTGCGTCTTGCTAAAAAGTCTTCTTGTACACCGCAGAGTAAAATGAGGGTGGTGAAAGGATCCGTTAGGGACTTCTTTTGCAACACTCTTTATCACAAGGAAAAGGCTGCTGCAGTGTGCACATGGACACTGGCTAATATTCCTATTGGTTCATGCATTCATTTATTCACTCATTCATGCCTCAGTCATTATGTACTAGGCACTGTTCTAGTTGCTATGATATATCTAGTAAGCAAGACAGCAAAGTAGATCCTATTCTCATGAAATTCTAGTATAGAGACAAACATTAAGAATATATTAAATAAACAAAGCCATTTCGGACAGTAATAAGTGGTAGGAAGAATGTAAATAGTAACAGGATAGTGTGGGGGAGGGCAGCTACTTCAGCCACAGAGATTACAGCGTCTCTGAGGAGGTGACCCGAATGATGAGAAGGAGCCAACCATGCAAACAACTGGGAGAAGAAAACTAGAGGCAGAAATAATAGCAAGTGCAAATGCCCTGAGGCAGGAAGGAGCCTAGCTTGTTCTAAGAACAGAGATAAGACTAGTGTGGCTGAAACAGTCAACGATGGGGAGAGTGATAAGGGATGAAGCTGGACAGATAAGTAGGGCTCACTTGTGATTCTCTTTGTAGCTGTAGCCCGTTGAAGTAGCTCAAATGGGAGTGCCATAATCTAACTTATGTGTTTACAAGAGCACCCTAACTGTGTTGTGCGTGTGGAAGGTAGGTATGTAGGAGACGAATCGGGGAGCCACGTCTGCAGGTGTGGTGGTGGTCCAGGTGAAGGAGATCGTGGCTTGAAACTCGAATAGTGGTGAGGGAGCTGGAACCCCACCAGAAACAGCAGCTGGGCAGAAGGAAGGGCCGGATGGATCAGGGCCACAAAATCTTGATAGCTGTGAAAGTATTCTGCAGATTTCTGAGATAATTCTCTAAACGCAAGTGTCCAACGTGTGAAATTTGTTGCGCAAGAGATACATCTCTTTCCTTTAAAAGATACTTTATTTTTTTGCGAGGAGATAGAAAGTAGGCAGAATCAATACTATTAATGATCACTCAGTTCTTTTTAGTCTTGTACCAGTACCCTGCTGAGGACCTGTGTGCAGCCTTCTCACAGTCGTCCTGTGGGGTAGCTGCTTTCATGATCTCCGTTTGACATACGAGGAAACTGAGGCTCAGAGAGGCCGAGAAACTGCCAAGGCCACATAGAGAGGAAGGCCTGGAGCAAGAACAGAACCCGGTCAGCTCAGCTCACAGGATCTGGCCAAGCTGGTGCTCCTGTCCCATGTGCTGTCTCATTCCAGAAGGGCCGCCATGTGGCCAATGAGGCTGATGTCACGGATGCTAAAACTTCAGCCCTTATCTAAATGAGCCTCCTTTAATACTGAGGATTTGACCCCCTATGTGAATAAATACTGTTCAGTAATTCACACGCCAGGCATCTAACATTAGCATCATGACAGTAAAAGGAGGTATAAGTTCATATGTTATGTTTAACTCTTTAAGACTGTTAAATGAAAAATTTCACATCAGATGTCGTAACAAGCATAATGTTGCTCGTCCTGCAGAACACTGGGTAGAAAATCAAATCAAAATAATATTGAAATTAGAATGGAAACATGATATACTTTTTTTTTAATCAAGAAGATGCCAAAGTTTTGAAATAAACTTTATTAAAATTTTATGGCATCTTAAGGAAACATAAGAACATGTGAAATATTTTAAGAATTAACTATTTTTTTCAAATGTAAATACATTTTTTCAAGAATACAAAAAAATCATAAAATATATTGAGACTTTTATCTTCTTCTTATTAGGGTACAGATAAGATTCTGATATTGATAGATGATTAGAGTGGTTTATTGTTGAGAAAAATCAAGTCCAAGTGATGGATCCTAGTGTAATTAAAGTGTCAGAGCAGTAAATTGTGATGTGTGACTGGTAAACCACTTGAATGATGAGCCGATATGATTTATTGTTTGTGCTTTTCTTTTTCTCAAAACAAGTGCTACTAACTGGCCAAGATTTGTAAATCTTTAATTACTAATCATGTGCCATAGATCTTTATGGAGTTGACTTTTAAGTTAAAAAAAATGTTTTTAATTTCTGCTGTGAAGCACGGGGGAGATTAGAAATTGATTCAACAGTCATCTTAAAACGAGGAAAAATGGGCTGGGGAAAGACATGCATTATTCTTGGGAAGACGAAGTTTCCATCCCTGATGTTAATCATCTGTTTTGCTGACCACTGAGCAAAGGGCAAAGCCAGTAGATTTCTTTTCTTTTTTTTTTTTTTTGCAAGCAGCTTTCATTTTTTTCTCACATTTTTTATTTGTGCAATTCAGTCACTTTTGCCTCTTTTTTGGTTCTTTGTTTGTTTGTTTGTTTTCCCTTATTTCTCATCATCACTTCCTATGGGCAGTGAAAATTCAGAGGAGCGACAGGCAACTTGCGTGGGATTCCTGGGCCAGCAAGCACTGCCACCTTCATGCCCACCATCACTATAACACGTGCCACCCCGACCACGGCGGAGTGCCCACCCTGACGCTCCCGAGAACGCCTCCTCCAAGCAGCCCTCGTAACGTTCCCGCCTTTCTCCTCCTCCTCTTTTATTTGAATTCTCTTCCTCTCACTTCCTCCTCATCTAATTCAGACCATCTTTGGCTTCATGGATGTTGTGTGCTTTTTTCGCAGTAGCAACTTATCATTTCTCACGTCTCCTAAGTCTTTCTCTTTTCCATCAGAAAGCATTTGTCGTTAGGAAAGGATGCAAATGTTCAGAGTGCCTTATACATGGTCAGGAAATAACAATTCAGAATATTATACAGAGTACAGTGTTCTCAGTTCTTTGCATATGCAGAATCACTTGTGAAATTCATGTCAGAAGATATTTATGAAAATGAGATTATGTATCTGATGCATCATGGTGTTGTTTATGGGGAAACCTGTTTTAATGTTTGGATTTTGTTTTGTCTAAAGCAAAATTCATAGAGCCTCTCTCTGGGTCCCATTGTGCTGAGGGTTATGCTGCTCCTCAGGCATTTGTAGGCTCTAGTAACTCAGTTTCTAAAGCACTGTCTCTGTGGCCTCTGAGACCTGGTCTCTGTCTGGTTGGGGTACTTACCAGCCATTGCTGTGTGTCACGTGTGTCTCTCTGGATTATGACTGGTTGGCAAGTGCGGCAGGCTCACACCGCACCTGAGAATGCTCTGTGCCAAGTCTCCACTCTCTTACAGCAGCAATGGTGTCTTCATCCTTCTCTCCTACCTCCATGAGTGCATACAGCCTGAGTTCCCTGAACATGGGGACTTTACCTCGAAGCCTCTACTCCACTAGCCCACGGGGAACCATGATGAGGAGGAGACTGAAAAAGAAAGACTTCAAAAGCTCACGTAAGTGAAATGTTCACCCATAATGTCGTTTGGCCTGGAGAAAGCATGTGGGCAGGTTAGAGTCTTTGAAATACAGAAACCTGCGAGGAGAGAGTTTGACAGCGCCTGAATGATCAGGTCAATGCTCAGTAGCTCACAGCTCTGTGCCAAAGACCACTGAAATGATATCCATCATCTGTGTGACAATTACGGCGGGGAATACAATTCAGACTGAATTGTTAGTTCACGCTACCTTTGCCTACGACTTTCTAATTGAAACTTTTTCATGCTCTTTGGATCTAATAAAATAACCAAAGATGTGATTTTCCCTTTAAAATTTCTTTCTTATATTCTGAGTAGCTTTGGGCATAAAACCTTTGTTTTTCATTTCTTATTCACTCTAAAGCAATTTTTTGAAAACTATGTCCCCTTTTTGATAAATATAAGAATCTCATGCGTTTGTTTAACATTATTATAAATTTCATATTAAATTGTATTTCATGACCCTCCCCCCAAAAAAAAGCAATGATAAGTTTGAACATGCCTTTTCAAACTATATCTCATTCCCCAAGATTCCAATACTTTCCCCAGGAACCTTCCTCATAGAGAGTCACTGCTCTCACATGTATTTCTGTTGCCCACTCCAGCTTTAGGAAGACTGGAAGGATGCTCATCATTATAGCGAGCGTCCTAACGTCTAGGAATTTCAACTATGAATCTTGGAAATATGATCTTCTGGGAGAGCCAAGCACAACATAGACTAGGCAAGACTAGGAAGATGTGGTTGGCTACTTGCTTTTGGATAACTGGTTGTACATAGAAAGAAAGAAAGGGTAATCGAATGCCTTAACAGGGAAGAAACAAATCACTCCCCAATTTTTCTTTTCTGTTGGGGAAGATCATAGTCTCTCATCATACTCACGTAAGTTCTAGAGGCAGAAAACACCTGTCTTGCCAACCAGATCTAATCATAGTCTAGGGAGGTGTGAGATTCCTTGTCCTATGTGTCCCTTTAGTGGCTGTGATTGTGATTCCTGTAAAGAAGCTCCAAGAAGACCAGGTCTCTTCCTGTGCTTACCATGAGAATACAGTAAGGAACACCCTTAAGTTACCCAAATAAAACCACACCCAGATGCTTCCAGGCTGGCAGTGAAGAGAGAATGGTCTTGTGAGAAGGGGTGGTGGAACCTATTGGCTCTTCAGCTTATTTGCTAGAGACTCATCTTTGCAGGTGGATCTGTCATCAGTCCCACCAGTGCCACCATCAGTGTAGGAGACTAGCCGTCACCATACTGGGAAATGGTCTCTTCATATTACGGGAACCTGAAGGTTTCCTTACAAAGAAAACCTTTGCAAAAGATAGAGCCACCACTGTGGTGTATTCATGATTTTGACATGTGTATCCTTTTAAATATAAGGAGATTCGTCATCTTTAGTATATGTACATAACGCTAAATTTGAAGTTAGGAAAATAGAAGGAAGATTGAGTTAGTCAAAATGAGAGCAAGGAGCTTCTAGAGTCTCATTTGTTTCTTAGCTGACACTGGAGTAAATTATTTACTCTTGGAAGAAACTAGTTGAAAGCAGTATAGTGAACTGGTTACAGGCATAGACTCTGGAACCAGGCTGCCTGAGTTCTCATCCCAGCATCATTACTTTCTAGCTGTAGGACCTTGTGCGAGCTTCTTAAGCTCTCTATGACTTGGTTTTCTTAGCTACAAAATGAAAATAATTATAGTATTTACTTCATTGAGTAATTGTGAAGATTATATGAGAATATATATATATATATATATATATATTCTCACCACCAAAAGGGACATACAGGACAAGAAATACGCTATAGACTATGATGAGTATATGTACACGTATATCCTCATAAACTCCTCACAATTATCCAATGAAATAACTACTATAATTGCATATATATGTGTGTGTGTGCATATGCTAGAACGACACCTGGTAAACTGTAAGCAGTATTTAATTATTAGCTATTTTGAATAGTTTAAGTGTTAGCCGTTATTATGGCTGAATCTGAATTGTCACGTGTGAAAACCTGTTGACGTTGCTCTCAGATTCAGGCATTTTTCAGTGGTTCCACTTTGGCGTAATGCATAGGTCTCGAGTCCTCCACAGAGCGCCTTCAGGGTTTGTGGTGGACATTCGTACACGAAATTTTCTACATGTGACGGCTTCACGTGCAGCGCTCCTCACTGGCAGAAACAGGCTAACAGCCCTCAGCAGGGACGAGCAATTAAAACGATTTCATTAATGTTTGTACCTGTGGTTCAATGGCTAAACGTGTGTTTGCGTGAGGCAAGACCTGCTGTGTTGAATAAGGACATTCGTGACTGCAAATGAATGGTAACGTGTCTGGCTATCGCAGGTTGATATTTATACACCTTGAATTTTGTAGTAGGAACCAAAGCTGAGGCCACACTATCACTGATGCCCATCACCAACTCATCAACTCTCTCTTGAATCAGGACGTTCTTCTCCAATACAGTAGAAATGTAAACAGAAACCTGGCTCAAGAAGTTTCTAGCTATTTGTGTTTGCTGTAGGCATTAGCCACCAGAGCACCACTGACCATATACCTACCAGGATGTTTATAAATGGGTCTCAGGAGATCATCTATTTTATATTTTAATCAAACAATAAGGTTAAAACAAACTGTGAACTTTTATTCCCACTTCAAAAAGACCTAAAAAAATGACACTATTCCAAAATTAGAAAAAAAAAAGATTTAGTTTCCTTTTTTTTTTTTTTTTTGCTTAAGTTTGGTAAAGGTTTTCCGAAATAACTGATGATAAAAGTTTTATTGCCACTCTCACTTTACCACGGTTTATTTCACTTTATTTTTGTCTCTATTCTGTACCACCATTTGCTACCCCCTTTCTCATACTTATGTTTCTATAGCAACCAGGCCATTTGTATGGATGGTGAATCATGGCAAAGTCACAAATATAATAAAAAGTCTCTTTGCTATATTGGTGATGAGTTGAGGCCAGAGCCTGCAAAACAGAAAAATTCTCATATATGTTTCTAGTACAAAGGAAGGACATGGCCAGAAGAGAATGAAATCTTGTCACATAAATATTAAAACATTCTGTATGATTGATCAAAGGGGAAAACACAGAAAGTCTGTAACAACGTGGTACAAGGATTAAAACAGGAGAGTGCCATGTTTGTTTCACAGGGAGAATGAGTACACCCAGCACTGGCTTTGAAGAGTGTCACAAAGCCCTGGGAGGGTGCAGAGCCATGTCACAGAGGCAACCCTCTTATCACCTCTTCTGGAATCTTACTGACCTTTTCCTCACTGCCTAGGCTGCCCCTTTTTCTGCTGTGGAGGCCAAATCTCCTTCCAGAATGCCATTATCCCCTGTGATGGCAGCATGACCGAGCAGTGGATCTGGCTAGTTCCCTCTGCTTTCTGCTTCCCTCTCCTGTACACAGAGCCAGGGTAGACACTCTGCCTGTTCCCAGTCTGCCTGAGTTGCAGCAAAGAGTAGAAGTTAGAACACATTCCCAGAATGGTCTTAGCCTCTTTTATCATCATCCTTTACTACTAGGGAGGGCAACCTTAAAAAGAGATGAAAGCAAGAGAATGAAACAGTCTAACTACTTTTGCCCCTTCCACCGACTCCTGAAAAAAGAACGAAAGACAAAGGCAGCTACTGGTAAGCTTTTATAAGTGACCATGTATGGAGCCCTTGCAGGGGTTAGCTTAAGATCTGCCCCTGCCCCCAGGTGGAGAAGGGAGCTGTGGGCCACCTCCACCACGCTCCTGGACTGGATCATGTGATGCACAATTTGTTGGGTCCAGCAAGTTGACCCCAGTGTGGAACACTTTAGTGAGGTAGAGGTCTTCAATTACAGGATCAGATAAGGATGAACACAATGTGTTAATAAATCTTTGCACTCCTTTGCTCTCTATACTTTTTAAATGCATTTTCTACCCGATGGTAAACCTCACAGCCTTCTAAATTAAGCAAACATTTGGCAGAGTTTTAAACTTTAGGAGTTAATGAGCTGTCTTTGGTTCCCCTCCCTTGCTTACACTAGGAAAGACAAGAATTGACAAAAACACAGGGTCATTTCTTGTAAACTCAAAGGGTTGTGAACAAAACCCCCCAAATGTGAATGGGAACAGGACAGAGCAGGTGGAATCCTGGACACGACCGGGGCACACACCAGTTAGCAGTTTTCAAACACAGCATGTCAGCGATTCAGTCCTATCCATCTTCACCTGTGAGTAGAAGTGGGCACACCTCAGGCCAGAGCCGGTGCCTTGCAGGAGTATTTGCTCCTGGAGAGAGAATTCATCATACAGATTTCTAACCTACAGGGGTATAATTCATAAATCACCTTTATTTTCTTCTGCTGCTTGACCACATTAATGAAGCAGGATAATCAAGCTCATCTTTTTCTCCTCCAAGTAATATTGGTTGTTTTCTCTTCCGGCTCATCATCTTTAAATCTACAATTTATCTTTTTCATATCTGGTAATAATTTTCAAGACTTTAATATGTGTAAGTAATCAGTACATGTAATTTTAAATGAAATTTTACTGTTTCAAAGAACAGATGACAATGTGTCAGAGAACTTTCAGAGTTCTCTGTAAAATTGTCAAATCCTACATTTAATATGATCCTATATTTATTATATAAATTATAACTTTATGTAATTATAAAACCAATGTTTAATACATTTTTAATCCTAAATTGTGTTCTAATGTGTGAGGTGTTCTATCACCTCAGCTTGCCTCTAGATAGAGCTTATAAGTTTAATGATACCCACAGTGAATTAGTTCTTGTTTCTGTTTTCAAAACCTTTTAGAGAACAAAATTCCTCAACCATCTTCTCTGTTTCAAAAAATACAGCAAGTCTCTCCTTTGAGAAAGTCTTCACTATATCTGACCTAATCCCCCCTATAAGTGGGATTGACCCATTTAAATTGACCCATTTCTTCTTGCTCTTTCTTAGTGGACCTGGTACTCAGCTGACTTAAAGGTTCAAAAACAGTTTATAACTCCAATTAAGTGGTTCAAACATCTGTACCAATTGTATCCAATGTATCCAATTCCAATTGTATCAAATGGAAAAAAATATTAATGTGAACCTATGGAGAAAATATTCTTCACAGAAAGTATTCTTGTTGAAGCCCAAAAGCTTCACCTAGAAGATGGGGTGGAAGTAAGCTGCCAAGTAGGTGATGTTCTAATAGTATACTCCCGCCTGCTGTGAGTACTAACTGGAAAGACATGCGACTCTCCAGATCCTTACCGACAGGAAATGGTATGTTCTCGTGGTTTTGTGCCACCAATAACAAAATGTGTGATCTGGAGAGGAATCAAAGTACAGTTGACATTAACAAAGGCCCACGAGAAAATGTGGTCTGAGCTAACATGTGATGCTGCAAGTGTCACACTTTGAAATCTTGGGCCACCACCTGTCAAAAGCTTAGGGTTGGAGGCCACCTTCACCCCACTGCAGGCCATTTAATCTCACTGACGTTAATCCTGCTGAGACAGAACAGTGATGGTGCTTCTTCAGAAGAAGTACGCTTTTCCTTACTCCCCCTTGACAAATGACCACCTCACCGTCCTCCGCCATGGCGGCTGCAGTGCTGGAATGTTCTACACCGTAGGAAAATTTGCATCTCAAAGGACAGCTTCTGGTTCCTTAACTCAGCAGAATCTACATGAAATGTTAGTTCCAAAAAGGGAAAAGCAGACGGTATCACAAAACTTGATTTATTCCTCATTCACTTAGCATTCCCTGAATGTTCCAGGCACTGGGATTTCAGAGATGAGAAGATCTGGTCCCAATCTTTAAAGAACTCAGGGTCAAGTGGAGAGACAGGCAGGCAAATAAAAACCCGATAAATGCTGAAATAGGACCATATATTAGAAATGTGGAAATGTAGAAAAGTAAGTACCTGATTCTGCCTGGATAAGGCAGAGAAGGGGACAGCGAAAGCCCAGAGCAAGGACTAAAGGGGCAGAGGAGACGGTGTACACGCAGACTCAGAGCTGTGAAAGCAGGGCCAGAGCATGTGGCACGTGAAGAGAGCAAGGGGAACCCGAGACTGGATGGGCAGGAGAAAGTGAACTCGTGAAGGGTCCTGTGTGCTCTGCTAGAATTGAAGATTTTGTTCCACGGGAAATAGGCAGCCACAGTTAGAATCTTTAAAAAGATCCTAAACTGGGGGATGGCCTTTGCATATTAGAAAAGCCACTCTGGCAGTAATTTGGAGGCTGTTAGCATAAGACAAAAGACAGGGTCGCTGGTTGGAAGTCTGTATAGTAATCTGTACTACCAATGATGAGGTTCTACTCCAGAGGGTGCATAAATTGGAGCTTCATCACAAAGAGAAAGTTAATCTGGCAATAATCTAGCAATGTATAGCAATATGTATAGCAATGTGTATGGCAATAATAAGAAAGCATCGGGCATGAGAGGACCCAGAAACAGGTATATTCGAATAATTGAAATAAGTAATGAAAGGCTGAAGTAAGGCATTGACAGTAAGAAGGGAAAAGAGGATTTATGCAAGATATATTTCAGTGGTCATCCTGAAAGAATTTAGCCATTGACTGAATTTGAGACAATGGGGAGATGTGAGTCCAAGGCTACTTTGAGATTTCAAGCCTGAAGGACTACAAGCGTGAGGGTCCCATTCATAGAAATAGGAGTGGCAATGAGAAAGAGAAGACGATGAACTCAATTTTGAAAATGTCGAGTTTGAGGAGTCAGTGAGACATCCTTGTGGATGGGATATCCATCAAGTCAAGAAATTCATCACTGGAGCTTGAGAGAAACCAGAGAGGTAGATTTGAGAAGATGTATGCAGAAGTCACGTTTTAGAAGCATTGGAAGTGAATGAGGGAAAGAATGGGAGTAAAAAGGGCTTAGGACAGAACCAGGGGCAACTCTCTGGAGTGCAGAGGAAGCAAAGGAGCTGGTAGGGGCTGAGAAAGTAACAAACTAAGAACCAAGCTTCATGGAAACAAAGAGAGGAGCAACTTCAGAAAGAGAGACATGGCTCCCAAGCCAGTTGCTGCAGAGCGGTGAGAGTGGAGGGGTGGTCGATTTTGGCAATCAGGAAGTCATCAGTGTGAGCAGTGTCAGGAAAGGGCAAAGGGAGAAGCCAAAGTTGAAGCAGTTTCGGAGTTAGTACCAGTCAGAGAGAGAGGTCAGAAAGCTGGGGTAGTGGGGGGCAAAGTTGGAAAAAGCAGCAAGAGAGAAGTTTTTATGGCACAGAATCACAAAAGGAGCGGGAAGGGATAGTATCAAAAACACGGAAAGGAGGCATTAGCCTTGAGATAGAAGGAAAGATCCAGCCACCTGAAGCAGGACGAAGGGAGAGAGAACAGACACTGATACAGAGAAATCGAGGTTGAGAAGAATGTTGTTTAAGGAACTCTCGTCAAGTGGCTGGATCCTTTCTGTCTTGTAGGAAATGAAGAAAAGAGTAGTTTGACCCTGATAAGGGTGGAAATGTTTGAGGTGGATCCTGTGAGGAATCAAATAAGGTACCAAAGCATTACACAACAAAAGATTCCAGGGCCCCATAGAGAATACTGTGAATTTGTCATGACTTTCTCTAGCCTTTCAGCAACTTAGTAACAGTGGAGGTGACTGGGCGTTACCAGAGTACAGAGCATCAGAGGGTAGAAATCGTATGAGGTTTAAGAGTCTCTGATACTCACAGATGCATCATTGAAGTGGTCGCCAGGGGTCCACGTGGAGTGTGGAGGGAAACAATACTGGTAAAAGGCAATGGGTAAAGATGACGGCTTTCAAACTCCTTCACCAGATTCCCACCTGAGAGAAGAGGGGACCTCTGGGGTCTCCCGTTCCTATCTCAACTGCAGTAGCTCTGTTTTTATCTGGAATATAAAGCCATCCCTTATATGCTTTCATCTGAAGGAGGAAAAAAATCTGTTGCTGAAAATATTCTTTGGAAACCACTAGACCAGGAGACAAGTGGGAGGAAATGGGATAGAAGTCATAAAGAGGAGAAAGTTAGATCGCAGGGACCGGGAGAGATGGCTAGTAAGGGTCTGTGATCAACAGGGAGGATTCAGATACTGAGATCTTGGAGCTCTACCCATTTTGAAGGGGTACGGGGTCCAGCATAGGGCTCTGCTGGCAGAGAGCTGAAGTAGGGTGGAATTGCTAGTAACTCGCATTGAGAGAGCTGAAGAACCAGAAAGCCAGTGCGTTAGATTGTCGCCATGATGTCAAAGATGCTGAGGACAAGGAAAAGCTACACCTTAAAGGAGACAGATGAAGAGCCAAGTCCTGAAGTCAGTGAGAAAACAGAGGGAGTTTTGTAAATGTAGAAAACTATGGGTTTAGAGATGAGACAAAGCAGACAAAGCAGAAATAAGTACAGAATATGGAACTTTAAATAGGAGCGGTTTGAGGTTTAAAAAAAAAAAAAGTGCTGTATATGGTGAGCAAGGAGTGTTGTAAACCCTTCTCTCTCCTTGCCCCACGCAGGGAGAGTGAAAGAAAATGGCTCTGGCTGCAAAGCATTTTGAGGTGCATGGTGTCATCAGGTTTCAGTTAAAGTAAGGGGGCCATAGACCCTTTTTGGAGGAAGTGACAGGGCAGCACAGGACCATGCAGGCAGGGCGCTTGCTCGCAGAGAGCAGAGGCATGCGGGGCCCGGAGGCAGCGCTGAGAGAAAGGCATCCAGGAGGGGAGCAGCCCTTTCATGACCTGGGTTGAGGATGGGAACAAGACAGAGAGGTGTGCCTGGAGGCTTAGAAGAGGATCAGAGGAATGGATGAAATAAGAGACAACACAGTAGGCTGGGGACCCATGGGAAAGAACAAGGACTGAAGACACCAATTTTGGGCAGCGGAGGAGGAGGAATGTAGAGTGTAAAGGACTCCATCCCACCGACCCGTGCTAGATAAGGTTGATGACCAGCACGTCCTCACCACTCCAGGAGCCAGACTTTGATTGTTTCTTCAAAGCTGAAGGTTAGATCGTTCGTAAGAAGCTTAAAGCTTAGGCGCAGTGGCTAAAGGGGAAAAACATTAGACCAGGTAGCCCAACTCCCTTTTTCCTAGATAGGAAAGAGATTAATGACTTGCCCAAGGTCACCCAGCTGGTTGCTTAGTGGTGGAGCCGGGACCAGAACCCAGGTACCTGTACCCCAAGGCCATCCTCTTCCTACGGCTGCCACAACTGTCCTGGTATGGAGGGGGCTGCACTGGTTTGTGACAAAAATGTGATATATACTGGGAGATTCATTCATCTTGTTCAGCTCTGGTTAAACTTTTTGCTAGAAGACCAAATATTACCTCCCACCATTGCCAGTGAGCTTTGTTTCAGAGACGTGGTTTCTTTCAGAAATGCTGGTGGGTATTCCTGCTGCTTGCTCCAACCTAAAGTCATTGTCCTCCGTGTGTGTTCCTCCAGTGTCTTTAGCCTCTAGCACGGTGGGCCTGGCTGGGCAGGTTGTTCACACGGAAACCACAGAGGTTGTGCTGACAGCAGATCCCGTCACAGGATTTGGAATCCAACTGCAGGGCAGTGTGTTTGCCACAGAGACTCTCTCTTCCCCACCTCTGATTTCCTATATCGAAGCGGACAGTCCGGCAGAGAGGTGAGATGCTTTCTTTGATAGCCTCTTTTTCTGCTCTGCATTTCTTGTGCTGGCTGTCTTTGAGTAGCTAATAAATTACGGAACAGTGCTCAATGCAGGAAATGCAAGACAATGAACTCTGTTATGACGATAAAATTTTATGTTCTTGATCAGGTTTGAGAAGAATAACCAGCATGGATGCCTTTATCTGGCAGATTTTTGTCCATCAGGGACTAGAGGCTATGTTAATTAAAAAGGAAAAAAAGTTGATTAAAAAAAAACTCTGAAGTTCAAACTTTAATAATTCTCTGCCATGGGGGAATGGAGATTCATCATTGCTATATATTGGTTCTGATCAGATTATAATAATACCATGGTGCTGAATTATTAATTACTTCCCTGGGATACTTCAAGATTCCCTTGCTTGTATTTGTAGCCATGAAATGGAAGAATTCAAGACACTGCAGTTGACCTAATATGATTCCCACAGCATTGAATAAACAAGACCAAGTGATTTTGCTGTTTTGCAAGGATCAAACAAAATAGACTTGGTAACTTCAACGTGATGATTATTAACCCTGTCTACAGCCTCTAACATGTGGTTCTGAATTTAGATGTGGAGTGCTACAGATTGGAGACAGAGTGATGGCCATTAATGGAATTCCTACCGAAGACAGCACCTTCGAGGAAGCCAATCAGCTCCTCCGAGACTCTTCCATCACGAGCAAGGTCACTCTGGAAATCGAGTTTGATGTTGCAGGTACAATCATGTAATGGCAAGTCAGCACCGAGTCAGGGTGGACTGGACGAGAATTATATGGATTGTGTGGCAGAAGGGAAACTATCTTTTGTATTCTGAGCATGTTTTTGTTTAGGAGATTTGGGGTGTCATTTTGAATCAAGCGTTGTTTTTGTATTATCCATTAAAACATCACCACAAGAACAATTGAAAGTAAATGTGACAAAATGAGTAAGCGATAACCGCTATACAGGTGATAAAAAAAATCCTGTAGCCTTTATTCTTCCTGACTTTCCCCTGTGTGCTAGAGAAACCATATTCTTCAGTCACACGGACAAGAAAAGCCTCTCCTTGACCCTTCCCACTGCAAGGAACATATGAAAGTTTGGTGGGAGAGCAATGAAAATTCATTAGGTGGATTTAAGCAAGCCCAGTAGGTAAATATTTGGTCTCTAGTGTTAAAGAGAAATTGCAGCAGACCCTTGTGAAACATGGCAAGGAAGATTATTCAAGACTATTGTGAGAGAGATCACAGAGAAGAGAGAGTGAACTCAACTCCAAAGACAGCAGAAGCAGCTGGGAATTTATAGCCAATGGGCAAGGCGAGGGTGAGGGAGCTGTTGGAAGGAAAATTACTACGAGGAACTTGATTAGATATCAAGAGGGGGATGAGGAATTCTATTATGTATTCAAGAGTGGAGGGATTCTCGATAAACCGATTTAGCAGAATTCTTGCTAAAGCTAGACTCAGCAGGCCAAGCACTAGGCCAAGGCCAAGGCCTAGTCAAGAAGAGGGCCCAGAGGAGCCGGACTTAAGTCTGGTCCTGGAAGGAGTCCTTGTCAGTAGCTACCAGGTATGCGGGGTTTAAAGGTTGGTGCTGGTTCCCATTTAAGTAAATTGTCTTCACACAGTGCAATGCTACTTCACGGAGCCAACAACATTCACCAATCAACAACATTCACCAATCGGTAAAGATAAGCCTCTGGATAAAGAGATCGCATTATCCCAGCAAATATTTGCTGAGTGTTTACTGTGGGCCAATTACTGTTGTATACAATGGAGATTCAACTGGAGACAGGAAAGAAAAAAATCCCTGTCTTCATGAAGCTTATATTAGTATAGAAAGTTAAATTTTAAATTAACAAGTAAAATTTGGACAGTAATAAGTGCTCTGAGGAAAATAAAGGCAGAATGGGGGTTAGAGAATGACTGTGGGGGAGCTATTTTCATAGGATGACTCTCTAAGGAAGTAAGCTTGGAGCAGAGATTTGAAGGGTAAGAAGGAGCCAGCCATGGGAGAATCTGGGAGGAGAGCATTCCAGGCAGAGCGAGGAGGCCATGTTAAAGACGTGAGCCAGAATAATGTGCGTGGTGGATTTGAAAAACAGCAAAAGGGCTCTTGCTGCAGAAGTAAGGGATTTGGGGGTGGGGATCAGATTCGGATTTGGACATGGGTGGGGAGGTTGGAAGGGCCCACTAGTGCAGTCCTTGGTACAGAATTTAGAGTATATTTCCAAGTGTGATGGCGTCATGGAGCATTTTGTAGAGAGGAGCGAGGTCACCTGTGAATGTTTGAGAGAGGTCCTTCTGAAATGAGAAGGGGCAGCAGCAGAAGCAGAAAAGCCAAATAGAAGGTGGTGGCACTCGGACAGGTTAGGAATAATGGTGGCTTGCACAAGTGCTAGAGATGGTGACAAATGTGAAATTTGGGACGTGACTTGAAGCAGGGCTAACAGAACGTGCTTATGGGTTGGATATGAAGATGAGAGAAAGGGAAGATCATGGATGACTCCTGAGGTATAAGGCTCAGCAACTGAGTCAGTAGTGATGTCTTTAATTGAGAGGAAGACTTGAAGAGTGGAAATTTGGGAATAACAAAAAGAGTTCTATTTCAGACACAAGTAGGCAAATCCACTGCCAATACTAGGAAAAAAGGACAAGCATATCCATTCCTTAATTCAGAAGACAATTATCAAGCACCAGTTAGTTACTGAGCGCTAGGCACCATGCTGCTGCAAGAGGAAATAGAAGGGATCAATATGTCCAAGGAGCTCAGGGCCAATTAGACGAGAGTGAGAACTGCTGAAAGATAAGAGTAGACTTACGGAATGTGTGTGGCCACTGGGATGCAAAAAGAAGTGCCCAGGAGGCCGCAGGCAAGACGTCCTGGAGCTTAGGATCAGGGGTCTGGGCTAGAGAGCAGGACTGAGGAGGGACCACCATGTCGGTGATTGTTAAAGTCACTGGACTAAAGGAGAGCCAGGGAAAGAGTGGCGAGAAGGGGACTCTGCCTGAAGAGTACCAACATTTAAAGGGGAAGAGCGCTAGCAAAGGAGATGAGAAGATGCTCTAGGAGAAGTGGGAGGAGAACCAAAAAGGTGGCATTTTGGAAGCCAAAGCAAGAGTTTCAAGGCAAAAGTCCTGGTCAATAGCATAAAGGTGCTGCAGAGAGTTCAAGTAATAGAAGGCAGGAAATGCCCACTGGGTTTGACAAATAGGAAGAAATATTGCAGAATAGTTTCAGGGAATCGGAGTACAGAAGTCAGATTGCAGTGACAGGGAGTGAGGGTAGGGTGCAGAAGTGCAGATGAGCTGTACGTGCTGTCTGCCAAGGAACTGGGTTTTGGAAGAGGATTTGGCAGGAAAAATGCAGTGAGTGGATGAAAGGGACTGGAGACCACTGTGGCGGCCACTCGTCTTTTTAGAACTTCCACAGCATTTAGGTAATCAGTGGTTCTCAACCAAGATCAGTTTTTCCCCAGAGGACATTTGGCAATGTCAAGAAATTTAACTGTAGATGAAAGGAGATGGGACAACAGATAAAGGGGGATTTGGAGTTGAGAGGGGTGTTTTTTTGTTTTGTTGTTTTGTTTTAAGATTGGAGAGACTTGAGCATGTTTGGGGCCTGAAACGAATGAGGGAGAAAAGAGATAGTTGGTGGAATTGGGTCCCCAAAGGGTTGAGGGGGAAGTTATCTAGCACATAGGTAGATAACCAGTCTAAGACAGAAAGTAGAAGATCTCTTCCTATGAGTATGAAAAGAAGGATGTGAGAATATAAACACATTTTTTAGCTGTATTTAGGAAGTTCATTTAAGAACTGTCAAGCAAGGGTGAAAGGGTCAGCATCTTGGGGAGCTGAAAAGAAGGATGAGAGTTTAGAATAACTAATGGGGAGATGAGTGAGAACACCAACTAGACTCATGTAAAGGGATTTTTGAGCTGAGTGAGGACCAAGCCTAATCTGGAAGCTCTAAGTTTATAGCAGCATCGACCTGCATGCTCAAGTCGTTCTTTGTCAGGAGACCTCAGGGCAGAGACAGTGGGTGATTAGATTGAGCCTGAAATTAAGATTTCCAGAGAAGGTTCAACAGAAGGAGAACTTAAATCACAGAGGTTCATTGTGGCAGGCAGAGCAAGTGAATAATTACGACAGCATAAAAATTATTGTGATAATATTTATCAAATGCTCACTCTCTGGCATGTCACCTTTGTAAGCACTGTGTGTGCATTCGCTCACTTAGTCCTCATAATGGCAGTGGAGAAGGTCACTGTTATTCTATCCCCAGAAAACTGAGGCCCACGTGGTTAGTGCTAGGGCTGGGATTTTGACCCAGACTCTGACGGCTACACATACTGCCTGTGTTTGAAAGAATCTCAGCTGGAGAGGGATGGAATCAACAAAGGATCAGCCTCATAGATCAGGAGGAAACAGAGGACTTAAGGAACTAGGAGCCTTCAGGAAGAAAAATGGGTATAGTGAGACAGTTGACAAGGGAGCTAGTGGTAGGAGATTGAGCTCCAAGTGGCAAGTTAAAGCTTAGGATTTCAGAGAAGGTCGAGCAAGGCTCGGGGCAGTGAGTCGCTGAAGTGCAGTGGAGTGGAGGCGAGTATCATTCAGCCAGAGGTCTGGGGATTGGGGGTGCAGTGTGATGGAGAGACCATCCACACAGTGAAATCTCGCAGGAGGGCGGGACTTGGATGAGGAGGGGAGGATGAACCAGCTGCTCACGACATGCCCAGCACAGTGCCATCCATGGATCTCTGCAGCAGCTCTTTCCTCTGCCTGGGCAGCCCGTCCCCAGCGTGCTTGGGTAGTTTCTCTCTTTGTTCAGGTCTTTGCTCAAATGTCACTTGCTCAGAGAAGGCTTCCCTGACGGTCTGTCACTCTCTGTCCCCTTGCCCAGATTTATGGTTCTTCTTAGCCCTTCTCAAGCTCTGATGTTACATGGTATATTTGTTTGTTTGTTTTCTTGTCTTCTCCAGTAGAAAAATGTATGATGTCGGGGACTTTGTGCCTTTTGTTCACAAGTGTACCCCTAGCACCCAAAATAGTGCTTGGAGTACAGGAGGCTGTCAGCCAATGCTTGGTGAATGACTGAATGAATGAATGAAGTGCAGTTGGCTCTCCTGAAGGACTGGGATCAGGAACTTCAATTCCCATCAAGAACTGGCTTCATACCCTCTGTGTCTCTGGGGTTCCGGGTCTCAGAGTGCTGCTTGTTTCTGCACATCCACTCCACTTGTCTCTGTACAAGTTTTCTCTGACTGTTGATTGTACATGATCATCTCATCTTTGGGAAAGTGCCCAGCCAGTACCAGCCAGTTCCAATTTCTAATTCCCAAGAGAAGGAATCTAATTGGCCCAGTTTAGGGTTAGTATCTTCCCCTTCTCGTCAGCTGTGGCCAAGCAGGAATCTGGTAGAAAGACCCTGTATGGATCAGTCAGATGGCAGTGAGGGTCTGGTTTTCAAAGAAGGCTGTTCAGCAGCCCCAGGATGTACTTGCTACAATCACAGAACATTAGTGGTAAGAGGACTCTTATAACCCAATACCTTCATTTATTTATAAATGGGGAGACTGAGGTTCAGGTGGGGAAACTCAAGGTCATACAGCAAAGTGAATGGTAGATCCCAGGTCTATTGACTTGCACCCATCTTCTCCATATCATATTACACTGCCTCTTCAAAGAGATGTTAAGTTCCCAGCATGAAACAGCAGGATTTCTGAACCTCTGCCCC